TGGCGTTTGGTAGACAGGATGCCTAACTAGTTGGTCAGGACAGGGAAAGAAGCACGGCATCTGAAGGGTCTGCCGAGTGTGAAGCTGTGCATGTTGGTGGACAGCAGCTGGGCACTGGATATGCAGTTGAAGAGAATCAGGCCACATATAAGACATGGCAGAGTGCAGCCCGCTGTACTTTTTCTCTTAGATAATTTGACTGTCCTTGGAATACTAGAAGTTCCAAAACTAACAGTAAATGGTGACACTTAGCTTGAACGTATATTCTTAGGTTTCCATTGACAAAGCACCCCAATAGTTTATGTGAGCCTTGGTGTAGTTCAGCCAGTTATTCTGGATTTGGGTTGCTTCTGACAGACATTATTGCAGCATCAGCCCTAGGCCCCAGAGCCTGGGCCAGGGTCTCATTCCTGCAGGCATGTAGGGAAGCCAAGGAGTGTTTTCTGTGCCTGCATCTGATGAGAATTTAAGTTTATGTTTCTCACTGGCTTCCCCTCTAAGTGGCTGCCAGTGGAGTCAGCAGCAGGCTGAACATGGCAGTTGTATGAGGAGTTAGAAGCTCTGCCAGGGAACACCAGGCACTTTTGCTTTATGTGGCTGCAGCTGTGACTATTACATGTGTGGATTTTTTAAAATGAGAGGATAGAGAACATGAAAAAGTTATTCTTCTCTGAAAAACGTAGATGTTGGACCATTTATTGCCACCAGCCAATTAGTAATTTTGCGTGCGCCTTTTGTTACTGTTATATAAAAGTCAGCCAAATTTCAGACAGTATTCAAATGTTTGGTCAAATTTTTATTTCTGTTTTTGGTGCTGGAGAGTGAATCCAGAGCCTTGTGCATTCTAAGAATGTACTCTGCCACTTAACTATATCCCTAGTCCATGGGGAAAAAAAAAGTCTCCAGCAGGTATCTTCTGAAGGGTAGGTGTCCTTGTTTGGTCAAATCATTGATAATAATTTGCTGTACATGTTTTTAATCAGCTGTCATAGTTTTCACTGATGTACATTCCTTCTTGTAGTTCTGTGAAACCTTGAGGGCCATTGTATTACTGCATATAGATTATATGGAAATGCATATTGTCTCTGCTTCTTCTCTTAAGCTAGTGGTAGTTCCCGTTACAGAGTGAGCGTGATGATTTCAACAAGCATACGTGATCTGTATGATTGTGTTTTAGTTAAGCACTTAGGTTGTCACTCTTGTGTGGATGTCTTTGCATGTGGCACCCTCAGTCAGTCCTTCATATAGCCCAGTGAAGTAGGCATCACTGTTCAACTTTTCAAGGCTGTTTGGGACACTTAGTTGGCAAGGTTAAGTTTCTTGTTGAGGGTTAAGGGTGCCTGTCATGGTTGGATCTGGAATGTTCTCCAGAGATTCATGTATGTAGAAGCTTGATACCGTATAGCAATGCTCAGAGGTAGTGTTTTGGAGAAGTGGCTCTGGCCTCATTCATACTTTCATCTGTTGATTGTCAGTCATAATTTGATGGGTTATTGAGAGGTTATTGATGGGAACCTAGGAGGAGGGACCTAGTTGAGGGGACTATGCCTTGTTCCTGCTTCCTTCCTGCCTTTTCTCTGCTTCCTGGCTACCTTCACCATGAGACGAGCAACCTTGCCCCACCTCATGCTCTTTGCCACTATGCCTTTGCCAGAAACATCAGAGTCACGTGACCGGAACGTGTACTCTGAAGCCATGAATCAAAATAAATCTCTTTTAAGTTGATTTTTCTTAGTTTTTATTTTTCCTTTGTGACAGAAAGGTGACGAACATCACTAATAAACGCAACAGGGTTTGATTCTAGCCGTCTGTACTCAGACTGTGTGGGGGCCTGGGCTTCTGTCTCTCTATGCAGGATATTCATAGCACAGTTAGCCCCTTTGCACCTGCTGGCCAGACAGATTGCTTAGCCTGTCCAGCTGCAGGACAAGCTCGATTCTAGAGGTCATGATAAGAAGGGCCCTCCAGATGATTCTTGGGCTGGTATGATGGCCTAGAAGGTACAACTGCTTGTAGCAGCCTGACCATCTATGTTTGATCCTATCTATGTGGAAGGAGAGAACCCACTAGTGAAAGTTGTCTGACCTCCACTTGCACACCACAGCGCGTGTGCATCTACACTTCTAGGTGTGCACACGGGATAATTAACAACAAGAACAGAAAGGCTCTTGGCAGTACCTCAGATGGAGAAGCCACCGTTGTTCTGCTCTGCTTTCTCTTTGCCTTGAAGAACTGGTGTAGAACCAAGCCTTGCACTCCCATGTCAGACAAGCACCTGTCACTACGCAACATCTTTCTCTCTGTATCTGGGCGGCTTCAGCGCTCCTGCCTTTCCAGGTTGTACCATGTCCTTCTTGTGGGCACTCCTTGATGGTGATCCCCAAGCCACACAAGGAAATACTGCCGTCTATAGCCTGAGCCAGACATATTTTCTGTCTCTTAGATTGCTCTTGGGTGATTTGTCTTCACAGTGGTTCAGGTGCTTGTTGACCATAGTGATTTATCCCCACCACCTTCACTCATTCTTTGGCCAAACTGAATGAACGTTTAAGGGCTTTCATCTTTCTTTATGAAGCGGAAGGCTCTGGGATGTAATCATTTCTGTGGTGGCTTATGTGGTTTCCTAGGTGCTGAGTTCTGTGGCAACATGATGCCTGCATATTTTAGGACAGAGAGTAGAAGGCAAGAGGAGAAGATGCAATCTTGTCAATGCAGGATGGTGTGGTGGGAAATTTAACAGCCACAAACATTGAGTGGTAGAGTTTAAGGAAATAGCTGTCATGTATTGAGTGGAATGTACTGTGTGATATGGAAAAGCCGTTGTTTACCTTGATGTGCTAACTACTAAAGCCAGTACCTTCTGCAATTTCTATTTGCCTCCTTGCCAGATTACTGAAGAGGAATGTCAGCTTTTGTGGTAGCTTTTGTGATTCTCGGAGTGTCACCTTACCGACAGGATTTGCTGAGTAGAGGCATCTTTATAGATATTTGATGCTTAGTTCAGGGTTTGGGTACCAAGGATTATCTCATTACCTGAAACTGTGGATATGCATCAGGAGAATGACTATGCCTTTCCAGTGCATTCTCTGAACATTCCTGCACACGAGGCTTTCTTGACATTTTTGATATGTGAGGTAGTTATGTAACATTTTTACTGGAGGATTGACCTGTCCTAAGTCTGCCATCATGGCTTAACTTGTCTGTAGTCTCCTCATCTGAGACTTGAATCTCAGGCACCTTCATGATAGGCAGGGAATAGCCAGTGTACTCCTGCGGAGGTCATGTGGTAGCATGTCCAGAAACTTTGGACCCCACCCCCCACAGGAGGCCTCAATAATGGCCAGGTATGTGTCTAGGCATTGCCAGATTGCACTGGGTGGGGATGAGGGGCACAGCTGTCCCTGTTGGGAACCACTGCAGGACACCATTGCACAAAACTAAAATTGTAAATGACACGAAAACTGAAGGACAGCAGACTGTGTGGCCACCTAGAGAACTCACTTGGTCGTTGCATGGAGGTCATAACAAAGGGGAAGAAGAGGTGGCCTTTGGGAGTGTTTTCTGTAAAGAAGTACCATAGTATGTGACAGCTATTTATTCCTCTAGGCTTGGCTGGATAGCGCCTCTGCTGTTTGCTGTTCATCTCTGGAAACTCCTGATAGGACTTGAAAAGTTTCACATCCCCATCTAGTGCTTTCTTACTGAGCATAAGTGTGAGTTACTTTGAAGAGCTGAATTTTTGAAGGATGTGCTTTACCACCTGCTAGCAGCTTTCGGAGTGGGTTGCCCATCACTCCGGCTTGGCCCTGAAGCTTTTGTGATTGGTTCTCCAGCCAGCACTGTGTCCCTCTTAGCCTCTCATATTTTCTTTGCCTTCCCTCAGACAGTCTCTGCTACTCTTGCATAGTCAGTGGAAGTTAAAAGACTGTGTGTGTTGCCGTCTTCCTATGAGCTTGTAGTTCCAGCATTTATTAGTCCATGCTTTATTCCTTTTCTACCATGTTGTAATATTTAGGATGTCAGTTGTATGAATGCTAATGAAATACTTTTTTTTAAAAAAATTAATGGCATCCAAGGTTATTTATTTTGTAATTGCTTTTCTTTTTGCTTAAAACATCAGAGTTCATTATAGCTGTGGGAATGTAAAAATGTAAATGTGAAAATGGCTGCACCCTATGCACAGCTGTGATGTGTTTCAGGTCCTTCATAGTGGCTGCACCCTCTCTCTGCACAGCTGTGATGTGTTTCAGGACCTTCATAGTGGCTGCATCTTCTGCACGGTGTGGTGTGTTTCAGGACCTTCATAGTGGTTGCACCCTCTGCACAGCTGAGGTGTGTTGCAGGACCTTTATAGCTTGCACAGAACAAGCATGACATCATTCTTCTGAAATACAGATGTTCCTCTTTTTAAAAATTTGTTTATCTGATTAACATATTCTGGGTGGTGTGATTATCAGTACAATCTCATCTTTGATCTTCTTCAGTTGAATAATTAGAAAAAATACTGGATACAGCAATTTTGAACAAAAATTCACTTTCTTTTCAAAATATTATGTTTTTTTATCTAGTGACAATTATTTTCAGCAGAGAAACACCAGTTCTAAATAAAATATGCTCTTGTTAAACTGTATTACCATTTGGAAATGCTCAGTTATATTGAAAATTTCCCGAGTCTGTTCTAGGATGAAGGTCATGTATCTTAGAAGCTAGTAGAGAAGTCTCCCCTTAGGGTGTGCTGAAGAGGAGTAAGTGGTTTTGATAATGAAATGAGAGATACAGGAATCTTTCTCGAGGAGTTGTAATAATTCAAGTAAGAATTGACTTGAGGGGGCAGGAGGAACTTGGTTTTCCTAGACTGTCAGTGCTGGGTAGTGATGGCAGCAGAGGCCAGAAAGGCCATTCTGATTTGCCCGTTTCTTCCCAGTGCATAATCCAGAGCTGTCTATTTTAATCTAGTTTATAATGAAGATAATGGAAATATGATTTCTTTTTCACTGTAGGAGGTGGAATAAACTGAGGCTGCAGGACAAAGAGAAACGCCTGAAGCTTGAAGATGATTCTGAGGAAAGTGATGCCGAATTTGATGAAGGTTTCAAAGTGCCAGGTTTTCTGTTCAAAAAGCTCTTTAAGTATGTGCCATTTGTTCTGTCCTTTATGTTTGTCATCAAGCCATTGTGTACAAATTAACACTTAGAAATTACACAGTAGTTACCTGTGGGCCCTTAAGGTACTTGCAGCAATTTATTGCAAATCCAGACACTGTCAAATGAAATTTTAGCCACATGCTGTTCATTAAAATTAGATGATAATAAATTGACTAAGGTGCGCATTGGGTATGTTTGTAAACTGATGAATCTGTATGGACTTGTCTCAGCAGACTAAAAACAACACATTTAAAAGCCTCTGCATCAAATTATGATTTTGTTCTTAGTAATTCTAAGGCACCAAACCTCTCATTTTAAAAATTGGATTAATTTATTTAAGAAGACGTGCATATTAAAATCACTAAGAGGGGTTATATATATTAAAATCAAACCTTGGGGAGGATTTTTGCTTTTTGTTTTACTTCTGTGTGGAAATAAAAATCGTTGATTGTTTTCTGAGGCTCTTATGTCATACCTAAGGGTATAATATTTTTGGGCTGACCAAATGTGCATCTAAATATTTTATGTGGATGTCTTTTTGCATAATGTCAACTGATAAGACATAGACAACACCTCGAGTTTTAAGTTGCTGTTGGAAGCTGACGTTAGTTCTGTGTGTACATGGCTGAGTGCCGTGACCACCGACCAGGTGCTGCATGATAGATGCATGCTTAGCGGTCTGTATGGCTGGCAGTTCTCCCGTGATGGATGGAAACGCCAAGGGACATTTCCTGTCTCCTCACTGTGGATTTACTTAACAAGATGCTTTAGGAAGGCTTCCTTAGAGGTGTAGAGGGAGTTAAGCCACCAGAAAGCCTCTTTCCTGTTTGCATCCTCAGTTCATAGAGCAGGATGCAAACTTCTCTCTGTGAGATGATGAAGTTTAATGTCCTTCATACATTCAACTGTCAGTCATGCCCTTGACTCAGGAATGATATCCACTTAAAATAGCATGTTCTTCCTCCTTCCTCTCAAGGAGCTTTTATTCTGTGTGCATGGGGAGTGTATGTACATGACAAGCACTGTACTACTGAGTGACATCACCAGGCAAGATCAAGACCTACAAATAATATTTATTTACTCAATTATTGTGCCAGGAGGATGGAATCTGGGGTTTGCTTATGGTAGGTGAGCGCTCTACCACTCAGCCTCCTCCATATTATAGTTTTATGTTATAAGTTTAATTTTTCTCTGCATGGAGACATTTGGGGTTGGGGGAGGTATTTTATTCCATTAAACACATAGTAAAACCAGGTCCTAGCTGAACTGACATGCTGGGTGGCCTGACCAGATTAATAGATAAAATCTACATCTCTGATCACTTCTGCAGAGAAGTCAGTTCATAGTCCAGGAAGGCCAATAGCTCGTTTATTTCTGCTCCCTGATGAAAATTAACTGTAGAAAGATAAATGAAGACTACATTTTCTCTGAAGTAGTTGTTTATTAAGTAAAAAGTAAATTAGTGTCCATGTTGTACTAGCAAAAAGAAACACCCAAATCATGGGTTAAGCTGACTTTACAAGGACGGGCATCTTCTGCCTAATTAGTGAGTGATTGAGCAAAAATGTCCCTGGCAGTCAGGGTGGGGAGCAGTTTTGTGTGTCAGATTTTCTAGCACAGAGGTATCACAGGTAGCAGAATCAAGTTCTACTTTACTGAGTGGATGTAAAAGTCATTGTATTGGCTATTAATTGTATTTTAGTTAATACAAATACATGCTTGCTAGTGATTTAAATTTGTCTTAATTATATCTTTCTGTAAAGTATTCTGTTTTATATCCACAAAAATAATTTAAAATAATTTATAAATGTTACTAGATTTCACGTCTTCTATTAAAAGAAAGAGGAGGACGAAGAGACTCCCTGTTTTTAAAAAGTTTATTTTATGTGTATGGGTATTTTGCCTACATGTATGTATATCATGTGCATGTAGTGCCCACAGAGGCCAGAGGAGGGCGCCAGGTGCCCTGGAAATGGAATTAGAGCCAGTTGTGAGCTTCTGTGTAGGTGTTGGAAACCAAATCCAAGTCCTCTGCAAGAGCAGCAAGTGCTCCTAACTGCTGAGCCAGCTCTTTAGCCCCCGATCTCTACCTTTTTTATGATTAAGTTTTAGCCAGGTCAGTTTACTTTTAAGTTGTGGATATATTTTTATTCTATTTACTACACTCAGTGGAACTGAATTAATGGGGTATAGTTGCACCCCAGGGAGTCAGGAGGCACAGTTTTCCATTTAAGTGCTATTTTCTGCAAGATAATGTTTAACTTCTGAATTTCAGTTTTGAAAGTTTGCCCAGCAAATGTATTCATCTGTATAATTTAACAGCCTCATGACAAACTTCAATTTGTTTTGACCTTACCTTCTACCAAACTAGTAAATGCACTCTTGGGTTAGTGTGACAATGCCAAGATTCAACAATTATCTGTGGTTATTTTCTGATGCTTTGGTCCCATGGGGTAAGTTTTTAGTAATTTCTTTATTGTTGTAGTAACTTAAAAGATCACTTAACTTTCTAAGCATTAAATTTTATATGTTTCTCAAAGATTTTGAAAACTAGATTCTATACCTGCTTTCATTTTAACTCTGTAGTTATTTTATAGTATTTATATTTAGAATGAGGGCATTTACTAGTTCTGAGGGAGCCAGAGCCCAGGCCTTTCATTCCTTGCTCATCACACACCCCAGCTGACCAGATTCCTTTATCAGTGAATATTTTTCAGCTGAAGTCTGAGGGTCTGTTTATGGTGTGGTACCTTACCCAGTCATTGTATAATCTTTGGCTGTTGAGATGCAGTTCCTAGGCTGCCCCATATGTATTTCTCCTTGAGTTAGTTCTGTAGTACTTCTCACTCATATTATTCTGTACCCTGTGAAAACCCTTGGAGTTTTAGGGTAGGAAATGTCAAAGCACCTAGCCCACTGTTGCTAATTCTCCAGGGTCACATGGAATGCAGTGTCCAGTTCACTTCCAGATTTCTTCTGAGAGACACCAAACTGATTGTATTCCTTTCATAATCCCCTAGCTGCTGATTCCAAAATCTTCTCATTTTAATTAAATTTGGGCCCTAGAGAAGCAGAGTGTTGGCCCTGTGTTGGGTGGATTGATTTTAGGGTGGTCACGAGGTGGTCCAGTGCCTGCTTGGAGCTGCTCCCATGGCGTCTGTGCTTTGGTAGAAGGCCGATGGCTAGAATCCAGACATTCTGGAACTTGAGTGCAAATCTCATCTATCTTGTTTTGTTTTTAATTCTGGTTCTTTTGAAACAGGTATCATCATGTAGCTTAGGGTGGCCTCAAGCTTGAAAGCCTTAGCCCTCTGTGTGTTGGAATTAATAGGTGTGCAGAGCCAGTTCAGGACTAGGTTTCTCCTATATCGGGGCTGCCTCAGCCTTGGCACATTTGACATTTTGGGCCAAATAATTTTCTGTAGGGACTGACCACAGCATTAGAGAATGAATAGCTTCTCTGGCTTTTGCCCATTAGGCCCTAATTGTTCTTTTCCACTTGAAAAAAAAAAAAAAAAGCGCATCTGTAGACATTGCCAAATGCCTCAAGGGAACAAATTATCCCTGGTTCAGGGCTGCTTTGCTGGATTATTTCGAAGTGGGATCATTTTGGAGTCATACAGTTCTGGATTTCTATTTTGCTTGCTTGTGTCTTGTGTTTTTGTTTGTGTGTGTCACTCCCTCTCTTCCCCTCTTCTGTCCCCTCTCCTCACCTCCTCTTCTCTCCTCTCCTGTCCCTGTCTCTCCTGAGCCTTTGCTTCCTGTCTATCAAATATGCCACTAACCCCATTGTACAGGTTGATTGTGAGGCCCTCTTCAGACTACTGGTCCAGAGCCTCACTGCAAATGGGTTCTTGAGTGGGAGCCATTGTCCTCCAGGACATGCCATGCATTTATGGAGCTCGTCTTTCTCCTCAAATTAGTCAATCTTATTTTCATACTACATTGGGTTTTGATTTTTAATCCTTTTCTCCAAGGTGCATATTCATTGCATTTATTATAATTAGCCAAACTAATAAGCAGGAAACATCCCAAAGTTTTTCTTATACTATGAGCTATGACGTTACCACCTAGAGTCATACTGTTAAAGTTGACGTACAGAATACTGAGAGAAGTTGATGGCACATCTACTGAAAGGAGGTTAAATAATAGCACCAGAAACCGAGGTCCACAGTGAGATGACTTATTTGTCTGTTTGTGTGTCTGTCACCTGTCTCCATCCCCTCACTTCTTCTTTCTTTCAAGACAGACCTGGAACTTCTGGAATTCTCCTGCTTTAGCCTCCCAAGTGTTGAGATTATAGATAGGTGCAACTATACTTGGCTCAGAAGAAGATTTTAAGTACACAGAGCAGATATGATTGATGAATTCTGGGGCAGTAAATCAGGAATAGTAAACCTTCGTCTCTTAGGGGTAGCACTGTGGCCATGGTGTTTTCTTTGGGTGGGGTTGTCCTTTGCCTTTTATCATAAGTGGGTTTTGCTTTAAGTCATTTACATTGGCATATAATCTTCATGACATTCCATGATACCAGGCTGTTATTCATTCCTGAAAATATTTTTGCTTTATTACTTAACTAACAAATAAAAAACCTTAGAGATTGATAGAGTTGAATGTGTGATTGGTGAAGAAAGGAAAATACCAGCTGAATATTTTTCTTTCTTTCTTTTTCTTAGAGTGAGGTGAGGGAGATATTTTTTCATTTCCTATTTAAAATTTTAATAGCTCCATCTTGTATCTTTGATAAAATCCTTGAATCAGTTTGTGCTTTAAAATACTTATGCTGTATGGCCTCTGTAAACAGTTCATTTTTATATCTGTTAATCATACAATAGTATCATCTGTTATACACTAATTTTAAGAACAGCCCCATTACTCATACTTGTTTATGGCTTTAAAATTTAATTTAATTTTCCCTATAAAAAGATAATATGACTACAAAGTGACTTTACAACTGTGTAAGCTATAAATTGTGGTATTCTCTGCCCTGATTTTTTGATGCTATTTAGATTAAGAAGTGTCACTTCTTTTTTGTAGAAAAACTTGGGGAACTTTATATACTTAGACTATTTGAAATTCTTATTTTCCGGAAAGTGAATTAAAGCTTGTAAGTTTATGCTTGTTTATCAAGCTATATCTAATGTTGAAAAAGAAATAAAATAGTCCTTAATTACTCCATCTATCAGTTTAATTAGAAATGTTAACATTCTATAACAAAAAATTACGATTTTTTATGTCTAAGTGATCAAAAATGTATGACCTTATAAATATAATAATCATATAAAACACGCATCCGGCACTTTTCTCTGACTGGTACTAGAACCTAACCAAATGATTAATTCATGAGTACTTTCTGTTACAATCTGTATCACCCACCATTTGCCATTTTCTCTTTTCTTGTTGGTGTTTGTTGTTGTAGGTATCAGCAGACAGGTGTTAGGTGGCTGTGGGAATTGCACTGCCAGCAGGCAGGAGGAATTCTGGGAGACGAAATGGGATTGGGCAAGACCATCCAGATAATTGCCTTCTTGGCAGGTCTGAGCTACAGCAAGATCAGGACTCGCGGTTCAAATTACAGGCAAGTGCTCCTCTGCAGACTGTCAGTCTGTGGAGCTCAATTAATATTTCATCAGATGTATTGCTGTGGAGGAGGGTCTTGTGAATTATTGATGACATTTCAATTACAATATTCCTTTAATTCTTTTAGTGGGGGACATCAAAGGAAAAATTTTACGAGACAATGGAGCTGTAGGGCAGGAGAAATTAAACATGTAACACTTGTAATGAATTCCAGGCGTTGATGCTTCATTTTGCAGATGGGCCCCACTAGATATTTTGGGTCAATACGATGTCTAAGGTTAGCTCTTGCAAATGGATTGTTTACAAACTCAATTATGTTAATATCAATAGTTTACACAATATGGAATTTTAAATTAGACATAATACCTTTAGCCCCATTTATTAAATTTTACATTAAAATATTTGTTCTGGCAGAAGACCAGGTAAGCATTACAGTAAGTACAAGTCTGCTCATGGGCAAAGTTGGATCTTTGAAGAAGCCATTCTCTATGGTTTCCTTTAGAATCTGTGTGCATGATAGCATTTAGAGGCATGCTCACTCTTTTGGACTGAAGTTTCTTAATCTTCTCCATATGTTTAGACTCCTCTCCCATGGTCAACACCTACATGACTTCCTGAATGAAAGTAATTTAGTTTTTTTCTGCTTGTATTCTAATACACTGTTAAAGCGTTAGTATTTTGAAAGAATAAATGTTTAATCTGTTTGGAGGTAACATTGATATGTTTGTTTTTGCAATAAAGAGCTGTGAATAGCTTTGTTTAAGTTGTAAATTAGCTTCATGGAAATCTATTTCATCTTGAAAACAGATAAACTAAGAGCTCCCTACTTTTCAGTAGGTTTATCTAAGAAGTAGCAGTGTGATGGAATTACCAAGTATATCTGTGTTCTTTGACTTGAGACACTCATTGTATATGGTTGGGAGATATCTTTGAAACAGTGTTGATGTGTTCAAAGTCCACAGCTGCAGAACGTTATTGCCCACATTCCAAGGAACTGGCACAGAAATGTACAGTAGAAAGCTTATATAGACCGTAAACTCCTGCCTAAAGACTATTATTGAGTCTCCCAGGCATCCTGATTTGCTTTTATTTGTTACTTTTTTTTTTAATGTTGTACTATTTTGCTTGGTTATCAAGTCAACACTTCTTGCGAGTAGTGTTTCAAATATTCAGATTTTTAAAAATATTTATTTTTGGTGTGTTTGTGTATACATACATGTGCCTGTGTGTATGTGTTGGAGGTGTGTGCATATGAGTGCAGGTGTCTATGAAGTCCAGCAGAGGGTGTTGCATCTCCTGGAGCTGGAGTCCGTAGGTTGTGAGCCTTTCGAGTGGGTGCTAGGAACTGAACTGAGGTCCTCTGTAAAAACAGTGTGTGCTTTTAACCAATGAGCCATCTTTCACCCCTAGATATTTTTGAAAGCCTCTGTAGGAGGAGGAAATATGTTAAAAAGAATTTTAAAAACCAAACATCATGCTGTTGTTATAGGGCAGTTGTATTGAAGCAGAAGATCTTCTGTAGCTATCAGAATACTTAGATGTAGGGTAGATTTTTACCTGGAAGCAGGAAAACATTCCAGCCCAAGAAAAAAGTCAACTGAAAATGGGCATCTAAGATTTTCCTATCTGTGACTGTCATTTAACATTTAGCAAGGACTTTTTCTGTTCCGGATGGGCTTGGTCTCCGCAGATCTTGAGGTTTCTGGTGCCTAGAATGTCCTGACTGTCCCAGGTGTTTCTAGGGCTTTCTCTCCTTAAGCAATTTCTGCAGTTTTCACATTTCTCCATTTCTTTCTTCTCTTTCCGTCCTATTATCATGACCCTTGTGTGGAGTCTTAACACTCTGGGCATAGGAGACCTCTTTTATCCCTGCAGTGTAGTTTTGATCTAAAAATTAAAACATGTTCTCTTGAGTAGTAGCAGTCCTACGAGGAGTGAAGTTAGGGCTTGTAATGAGCATCAGCTGCAATCAATTAACTATCAATGCTCATATTCTCTTTCCATAATGAAATAGTGTGGCATATTGGACTGGCGCCCAGATGTCTTTATTAAAATAGTATTGGTAGAACTGGCTTCTGAGAATGTGGCATTGTATCAGCCAAACTATAGGGCTGACTGAGGAGGGGTGTGTTGAGGAGCTCCATAAGGAATGATTGTATAACATGTCCTCCTGTACTAGGTGAACTTATATCTTAAAGAAAAATGGCCCTTAAAGCAGCAGGGACATCTGTGTAAGCTGGGATTGCATTGTTGGCTGTGTACCTTTTTTTTTTTTTTTTTTTTTAATAATTCTTGCAAGTTAGAGGTAGGAACCTAATTTTAAGGTCTGTGAACACTGTGAAACTGCAAGTCTCTGTGATACCAAGAAACTTGTGGTAAAAGCAGTTTATCGTATTCATTTATGTTTTGAGGGACGTTGCACAACTGCTTTTAGAAGAGGAAGAAGCATATTACCTGAATGATTATTGGCAATGATGTTCGCAGTTCCCAGTGGATACACTAACTTTTTACTTGACTGTTCTTATAGGGATGGGCCCTCTGAATTTTATAATGGAGAAGATGTAAATGATTTACCTCTCACATTTCAGTTAATACTTGGCTTGGTTGTCATTTAATTAATTTCTACAAACAAACTTTGGAAGGTAAAACATAATTTGTGATGCCCCATAAGTTCTAGGCCATAACTAGTAGGCTTCCCACTCATAAGTTGAAGTATTTGACCATAGAGCTATTGACTTGTCCTAAATTCATTAAGTAATCAATGATAATCAAAGATGAAAGGAACTATAGTATGTTTGGTAATTGATGCTAATCACTCCAGTACATTTAGCCATTTCGTATCATCTCACTGGTATTGAGGCTGGGAAAGTGGTTCACTTGCCTGTTAATGGTTTTGATTGCTCCCTCTGTGGTCCAGGAATAGCCTGCCTTGGCTGTGGGATTTCAACTCAGCATGAAAACCTCCCTATTATTCTAACAGAGGGGGAATTAGAAAGTAAAGAACAAAGTAATGCCAGGTAGCAGTTCATCTGGGGTTAAATAGTGGCCTTAAGTGAGGAAGTATGTCATCAACCTGGCATTTTATACAAGGTATATTATAAAGGAGAGAAAAGTGCATAGAGCCTGAAAAGGCATTCAGACTTACTTGAAGGTGAGCTTGTTTTAGGCTACTTTAGACAGCTTTTGATTGGCTGTTTCCTAATCCCTGCCAAGTGCATATTGATGACGACTCCCTTTTAGTCTCAGTGGAGGATATAAAGAAGGTGGCAGGCACATTTAGTCTTTTTAAGAAGGAATGCTGTTGTGGAAGGGACCAGGGAGCCAGGGGCCAGGGCAGAGTCCTGCTCTACCCAGGGAGAGTGAGAGACACCTGTCTGGCCCCCTGCCTTTGGTTTCAACATGGCTTGGAAATTCTGTGGGAAGGGTTGAGTTTGTTATGACCTCTGGATTCTCTGTTCCAACCTTGAGGGCCAGGGGACAATGACCACATACAACAGGAAGTGAAGGGTTCATGAGTGGACATAAGCATTCATTATGGTTCCTAAGCATTGCATCATATTGGATGGAGTGCTGGGATAAAGCCGGAAGTTAGAGCCGGGTGGTGGTGGTGGTGTATATGTTTAATCCCAGCGCTCAGGAGGCAGACAGAGGTGGGCTGATCTCTGTGAGTTCAAGGCCTGCCTTGTCTACAGAGTGAGTTCCAGGACAGCTAGGACTGTTTCACAGAGAAACCCTATCTAGAAAAACCATGAAGAAAAAAAAAAAGCTTGTAGTTAGAGTTGGCTCAGTATCTTACTTTTCTGTTAGAACAATTAATTTTTTAGCTATGTAGATGATTTTTAAAATTTCAAATTCTGTGTGGCTCACATTGAAATTTTAAACATTTTAAGTTTAGGAATTATTTCCTAAGCTGTAACAAGAAAGTAAAAATTATGCATGTCTTTCTAACTTAAAAATAATCTCTTTCACACTTTTACATTTCTTTCCAGCCTTTAAATACATGTTGTCATGTTCATCCTTTATATGCTGTGGTCTAGGCCCTGAGGTTATTCCATAAAGAGATCGTCCAGACTTGTAAAGAGCTGGAGAGGATTGCTGTACGTTATAGCGGTGTTAGTGTGGGTGTGTCAAGGAAGGCTCATGTATCTGTCTGGAGAGAAAGGCAGCTCTAGCAAGGATAATGTAGGAAGAGGAAGAAGAGGGCAAGGTCTAGAAGACAGTGTGTGCTACATAGGGCAGAGGGCAGTGCAAGCTGTCAGGGTTCAGGGTCAGGTGCTAACAGTGTTAGCAGTAAGAGAGGCCAGGCAGGAGCCAGATCTGCATGGCCTCATGGCCAGGCCAAGGTTGTAGATGCCATCCCAAGAGCAGGGTGCAGCCATTGGAGGCCTTGAGGGGAGGGCCTGGGACATCGAGATTTTACTTTCAGAAAGTGCCAGAAGATGCCAGAACATAGATGAGATCATAGTTGCTGTAACTGGAATGCTGACACTGTACAGGGGAGGAGATGGTGACTTGTGGAGAGGCTTAGGAGGTAAAAGGGTTGTGAATTTGTATAGGTATCTTATGGTGGGAAGCAAGAGGATTGATCAAAGAACAAAAGGGACACCTAGTTTGGTACCCTGAAGAATGGATGACAGTTCTGTTCTTTCTATTGGAGAGCTGTGAGGAAAGGGTGGCACATGGAGATGTCACTATTGATTTTTGATGTGTGCTTCATCTTAAGCACCAAATAACATCCATACACACATAGGATAGAACAAGAAAAATGACTTCTTTAACCTCAAGTGTGCTATCTTTCTTCCTGAGTCAGGCAGTTCTCCTGCAGGCTTTTCAGGTCATGCTGTGCTGTTGGGCTGTGGATATATGGGATCCCCACTTCAAGGCATACCAATGCTTAGGACCCCATAAAATCTTTCTTGCGAGTCAGAGTTACATCTTTCTGCTTCTGGTGGTGCTAACGGAAGCAAGGCAGGAGACAAGAAGACCATGGTGACCAGCACCTCCTCCCGCCTCCCACTGCCTGAGTATTAGGAAATTGCAGTGATCTGTAAGGTTTTTTTTTTGAAACTTTATTATACGCATTTTCTAAGGCTATTAAATAATTTTCAAAAACTATTTTAATGGTTATCTGATACTCTTGTCTTATTTAATAAACCCTTTTAGTATTTACTAAATGACACTGTTGTAAGTGTTTCACAGATGTTAGTTGTCTTAATATCTAACAGAGGGAGAAAATGTTTTGCTGTGTATTGTTTTTCCTTTTACTGTAAATATTTACTGTAAATATTGACTTCTGAATGTGCCATTTGCTGTTGTTAATCCCTGCACCCACTAAGTGATGAGTGGGTTCATTCAGGCTCCGGTGACCCTGAGCCTCAGCAGCTTTCTCCTCATAGAAAGAATCAGTAAATCTCCATAGATTATTTTCTCTTTTGAACCACACAGGGTTTTTGGTTTTGACTGTTGGTCACTTTCTCCACTGTCTCTCATGGTTGTGTTTTCTTGGACTTTTGGGTGCAGGTTCGAGGGACTGGGCCCCACTATAATTGTCTGCCCAACGACAGTGATGCATCAGTGGGTAAAAGAATTCCACATGTGGTGGCCTCCATTCAGAGTGGCAATTCTGCATGAAACAGGCTCCTATGCCCACAAAAAGGTAATATTACAGTACTTGACTGCTTTTGTTTGGCTCCTACTCTACAGACTTGTTTTTTTTTTTTTTTAACCATGCATTTCTTAAATATGTCTATGTATATTTTTTTTCATCTTAATTTATTTAGTTATTGACTTGAAGCTCCATATCAGCACACAGATATGAACAAAGGCTTTTATGTTCGAGTAGTCTAGTAGTGGTGTGGTATTTTGATGTCCAACAAAATATAGCTGGGCACAGGCAGGAACCACAAGACTGTTTGCATTGGCTCACAGATCAGGTGGTCTGTGACATGGCAATTGACTGGGGGGACTTTGTCATTAGAAGTCATAAATAATTTTAGAAAAGTGGGTTTGAAAAGTAACATACAGATTGAGCATCTCTAATCAGAAATCTGCAATGCTCCAAAACTGGAAACTTTGGGCAATGATACTACTGAAAAAGTCCATACCTGACTTGTGACAGGCCACTTTGAAAATAAAGGTACACCAAAAGTATTGTATTATTACAAACGGCCAGCAGGCAACCTGTAGAAGATCTGTATGAGACGTGATGAGTTTATGTTTAGGCTAGGTTCTGTCTCCAAGGCACCTTAGCACATACATGCAAATACTCCAAAATCTGACATACCACTGGTTTCAATGCATCCTGAATAAGAAATATTTAACGTTGATTGATAAATGCATCTGTAATTATATTTTTCAAATATGTTTCTGATGCAGGAGAGGCAAGTTGCAACTTTGAGAATTTCCCAGATACAGATAGTTTAGTTTTCTTGTTTTGTCCTCCTGGATCACAGTATGTATGTTGGACATTGTAGTTCCTCCCTTGCTTGCAGATTTGGTAACATATACCTTTCTTTCTTTCTTTCTTTCTTTCTTTCTTTCTTTCTTTCTTTCTTTCTTTCTTTCTTTCTTTCTTTCTTTTTTTGACTATCTTTTTTCTTTCTGTTTTTATTTTCTTTTGAGACAGGGTCTCTACATAGTTCTGGCTGTCTTGGAACTTGCTCTGTAGAGCAGGGTGGCCTCAAACTCACAGAGATCATCTGCCTCTGCTTCCTGAGTGCTAGGGTTAAAGTTGTGTGCCCCCACACCTGGCTACAGGTAGATTTTTCAGAAAGCAGGCTTACCTTTGCTTCTAAATTCTGTAGATGTGTTGTGCTAGGCTGCTTTTTTCTCCCCATCTGTCTTAATGTCTAGACTGTGGAGTAGATACTGCTTATCTTAAGCACAACAAATATTTGCTTGAGAAATAGAATAAATAATAGCCTCAGTCTTCCTGTGTGCTTACAGACTGTAGCACTGTCAGGTGGCAGTGTGTTCCACGGTGTCTCGGGTTCATTATTTCCTGAGTGAGCTCCCCTGCACTACCATGCAGTGCTGACTGTGAGGGCCAAGGAGTTTTCTCCTCACTGAGAGGCATTCTGCAGCCACCGAATCACTGTGCCTGTGTAATTTTGCTGTGTTCTTCTTTTTCCTGCCAATTCTCATGCATTCATGATTTTGGCTAAGCAGAATTTTTGATAGAAGATATAACTATGATGTAGTTTCTCAGATAAGGTGAGTTGGAGTCTCGCTTATAACAGCCAACTGTCTTTGCCCATAATTGGGAAACATAATTGATAGTGAGCCTATTGGAAAAACTTGGGACCATTACCTGTCTGGTGGGCAAAACCTAAGGGATAATATTCCCTTTGGGGTATGGTAGTTGCAGCTTCTTTGCTGCTTTCATTTGTGGCGGTGTGTTGTTTTTTGAGCTAGAGTCTTGGGTGTCCTTGAACTTGTGACCTTCCTGCCTTCCTTCCTTCATGCTGAGGTTTTCCCTGATAAGGAAGTTCTACCTACCCTCCTGGGAATGCCCATGACTGTTTTTTTCCTTTTTTTTCATTGCTTTTCATTACAGTTTATGGTTCTTTTTTTCTAACAGAAAAAAAAATAGTGTATGAGTTGATAAATATTTATTTGTGGAACAACTATAAATGTTGTTTTCCAGGTGTTTCATATTGTTAGGGCTCAGAGAAAAAGAGGATATGATGTTTTTAATTAACCTTGAAAAGCTAACTCTTTTCTTGGGGAAAGTACATCCATGAAAGATAAGGAAAGAAGGCAGTCTGTGGTACTTATCCCACAACTCACAGTGGGTGGTGGCTTCATTAGCACTGTGCTGAAAAGCTTAGTTAACAATTAAGGAGCCTCTTTTCAGTTTGCTAGAAGAAGTGTAATGAGAGATTGCTTGTATTCTGAAACAACTGTCACTGTCTCCCACCTTTTTCTGACAGGTAGGGTCTAGTCATTTTGTGGACATTTTAGATAATCCAGTTTTGTCTCATTTTGATCAACTCAAGTTACTAGAGTAAAACAAAACAAAACAAAAAACAAACAACCATCTCCTAAAGTTTCTGTTTACTACTGCAGGGTTTGAACTGCACACCTGCCATCATGGAAGCATCACTGAGCCTGGTGACGGTCTGTTGAGTGGGAGTTTTGATAATCTTATGAAGGTTTATTGGATTGATGTCCATGCATGAAGAACATTGTGTGTTCTCTGATAAGTTACTCAGTTACTTCTTGATAGTAACAGCGTATCACAGGCTTTGATCTTAAGTAGTTGAGAAAGGTGGCCTTGCCAACCATTCAGTACACATTCTAGATAGAAAAATTAATACCTTCCTTGTCAGAAATGTGCATGGCCATTGTCTACATGTTTTTCTCATGTCCTAAGGGGAAAGAGTAAATTAGAATGTTAGTTATTTTTGGAAAGTACAAGGTCAGGAATGGTTCAAAAGTAAATCTCAACAGTGCTTGGCCATCAGATGAAACTGCCGACTTGTGTTCTTTAAAAAGACCTGCGTTCTGCAACAGGAGCCAGGCTCTTGACTTTTTAAAAAGTAGAATGGGAGGGCTGCTGAGAGTTCAGTGGGTAGAAGTCCTCCCACATAGGATTAATGATTAGCGTTCTGTCCCTGGATCTCACAAGGTGGCAGGAGAAAATCGACAGACAGAGAAGCACACACTCAAAAATACTAACCGTGCAAAGGGAGAGGGAAAAAAAAAAAAAAAAAAAAAAAAAAACGAGAATGAAAAGGGTGACCACGTGCCCCGTCAAGCATCCTGAACATTTCAGACCCCTTCCAAGCACAGGACTGTACAGCACAGTGTGTTTCCTATTAACTTAGAGTTCCTATATGCACCTGATAGAGGAAGCCAGAGATGCTCCGTTTGTTGTGTGAGGTATACTGTAAAATTACGTTGCTGGGGCCTTTTTTCTCCATTGTCAGCACAAATCCTTGTTTATTAAAGATTTAGCTTGAAGGAAATTTTAATTAATTACAGGTGCAGTAAATCCTGCCTGGGAAGCTGCCTCGCCGTGTTTACTGTGAATGGCCTTCATGTGCCTGTGCTTCACTGTTCTCCCCGCTGCCTGACAGTGTGATTTATGGCTGTTGTTTTCTACCAGTCCACTGTTTGCCCTCTAGGAGGGATTGGTCTCCTGAGCCTCTATAATAACAGCAGCACTTCCTCAGACATCTTTTAATGACAACAGCACTACATTCAGTAAGTCAGGCTAATTGCAGATGTACCCTATTAATTGCAAAAAGTAGGAGAGGTTACATATTTTACAAGCTTTTAATTTGAAACCGCCCGAGATGATTTGTCTTAAGTGTTTGGATTGAGACGTCCATAATATTCAACAATTCACCATTACTGAAACTCCAGTCCAGGCAGTTGCAGAATTCTGAAATTGAATCAGGTGAACATCCATAGTCATGGATGTTACCCAGTGGAGATTGTGTTTTCATTGTGAACATTTTGTACAACTTCTTGTTCTTTCTGTAAAGCATCTTCTTAATTCTTTATAATTATTATACATCTTTGTGAACACTGTAGAGATAGGAATTCTGTGGTTCTAGCTAACATGTAGAGTGCCCCCCGTAAGTTCTTAAGCAATCACAAGAAGCTGCACATTGCTCCAGTGGCATACATTTAGCAGGCTCAATGTCTCGTTAGCTTACCTGTGATAAAACTTCTAGCTACATCAAATGATTCCAAGACTCATTTTGGGGTTAGGCACACTTTGGGGTGAATGGGGTGACTATATGGTGAGCCTGTGCAACAGTTGGAAGCCCCAGGGTCCGTGAACAAGTGAGCCTGCATTTGTAGGATCTAGTTAAACACAGTCAATGAATGTTTTATAAATGTGAGTGGTGGTTTAACTTCTCTTATTTAAAGCCCCAGGCAACTGTAATTGTTGTGTCGTCCCCCCCCCACCCCCATGTGCATATGGCTGACACCTGGACAGCAGTCAGTCATGGAGTATTCCATTGCTGTCACTTCATGCTCTTCCTACTCTCATGGCTTTGGGTTGCCCTGTTCTCCTAGAGGGAGAACGGATAAATCGGGAGTGCTGCCTGCCCAGGGTCTTGGTAGGAAATGTGGATGTGGAGGAACTGAGGGAATTAGCTCTAACATCTCAGAGTTACACGGGGTTCAAGGTGAGGCTGGGGAGTGGCGTCTGCTCCTTCTGCGGCTCTTTTCTGCACTGTCCACTAGCAGCTGAAGGAGTGGCACTCTTGTCAAGGAGGGGGGATCGGGGTGAGTTCTCTGCCCATGTTTACAAGGCTGTCTACCACAATAATTGACTCATTCATCTGAATATCAAACTAAGGAACTGGTTCAATAAAGTAGATGCAGCCTTTGGTGTGGTATTATGTAGCGTTAGACATTGAACTTTTCAATGTGGCAAAAGAGTAGTCACGATAATACTAAAGGTCACACTCTTGGGCCTTTCCTCTGTCTTTGGTTTGTAGTTAAACAGCAATTTTTCTTAGCTCCTTGAATGCCTTGTGTGTTATGCACATGAGCAGATAATTTCCCACTTCAGTTTCTCTTTACACTGTACTGAACACACACACACACACACACACACACAGAGAGAGAGAGAGAGAGAAGAGAGAGAGAGAATACACATACATGTATTACATGTATTGTCTACATACCTTGTTTGAGACCGGGTCTCACTGTACAGCTGAGGACAGACTTGAACTGGTTCTCCAGCCTCCATCCCCTACTGCTGGGATTACTGGTGTGCACCAACCAAGGCCAGTTTATTTGGTTCTGGGAATTGAACCCAGGGCTTTGTGTATGTTAGGCAAGCACCCACCTGCTGAGCTACTTGCCCACCTGATGTAATTTTTTTTGTTTGTATGTGTGTGTGAGAGAGTGAGCTTGTGTGTGTGCCATGGTACTGTGTGTGGCGGTGAGAACAACTTGTGGGATTTGGGGGATTGAACTCAGGTTGTCAGTCTTAGCAGCAAGTGCCTTTACCCACTGAGCCATTCTCCCTTTCTTTGAGCTAGGGTTTTGCTATATAGTGCAGGCTGGACTTGAACCTGTAAGCATCCTGCTTCAACTTTCTAAGAATTGAGGTTACAGATGTGTACCACCATGTCTGGCCTAAGAAATTTTAAACCCCCAGTTCCTTAAGATGACATTAATAAAATTACCTCTTTTTGAAGATTTTTGAATTATAAGCAAGGTATGAGTATTAACTAGATTTTCTCATATTTAGCTTTTTTGCATCCCTGTGAGAAACCATATGAAGTTGGCATATTGCTTACCTTTCATCTATAAAGTAGCTTGGGGTATATGTGCAGTTGTCAGTTTGGAGAGCTGGGTTGTGCTAGCCTATAGCACTAGTTGGAGCAGTTTGAAGAGCTGTTCCCTTGGCACTCAGAACACCTGTGCCAGCTAACTTGAGTGGGAAGAAAATGACACCCTTCTCCAGTCCTTCTGCTCCCCCACTTAGTCTAATTTTTCTTGTGCCCATTCTCTTTTGAATAATTAATTTTTGTGACTCATTTTGAGGTTTTCTGGTATGCTGTGCTAGTGGTATTCCATTTTCTCCACAAGTGACATTTTTTAAGACTCCATCCACACTGAGTCTGTTCTTATCAAAGAGTTACTTATTTGTTTGTGCTGTCCACTCTTACTTTGGCTTTTGTTGAGACAGGGTCTGATTCTGTAGCCCTGCCTGGCCTGGGACTTCCTATGTAAACCCTCTGCATTCTGAGCATTGGGATAGAGGTGTGTGCCATCACATCTAGCCTTGCTCTGTCTGTTCTTGCAGGTACTTTCTCTAAGATTCACTGGTTTTGTCTCTTCTTCTGTCATTCTTCCACCCTTGCCCATTGAGTTGCCTGTGCATCTGGGTTTGTGCTTTCTGAGAGTGTGCATGTGTATGTCTGAGCCTAGCGCTAGATATGATAAGGAGCTTGACAGCACGCTCAGGTTCCATGTCCTCAGTTTGATGCTTGTGTTGCTTGGCCTATTCCTTATCTGTGAGAAGGGCCTGCACCAGGTCTGCCAGGAGCTGTCCTGGTTGCTTTGGGGGCTTTGTTCATGTTACAGTGTTTTATGTAGGTAAAGTTTTGTGGTTTTCTTTATATATATATCATTCCCTTTTAAGAGATAAAGTAAATATGATATTATTTTATTGCAAGTTCTGTCCTCTTATTTTCATTTCTTGGTATATCTTCACTAATTCCCAGGTCAATGTCCCATGTTATCTGGTTTAGATGTCCTTTAAACTCAAGGCTATGTTTTTGTTGTCCTTCCTCATGCTCATGGTGAGAGGCACATGGAGGTCAGAGAATAACATGTCAGGATCAGCTCTGGTGCAGGGTAGGGTGGTGGGTACAGGTCACACTCAAGTCACCAGGGCTGTTGGCAAGCACCTTTACTCACAGAGTTGCCTCCTTAGCCCAAGACCTTGTTTTTAAAGAAAAGGTGGACAGTGACTGAAGAACAGCACTGGAGGTTGTCTTCTGGCCTCCGCGTGCATGTAAAAATGTGTGTCTGGAGAGGGTGGAGGGTTGGCTCCACTTTTGTATTTATTCCCAGGTTTTATTAATTAAAGTGGAATTACAGTAATACTTAAAATACATCCCTTTTCATTATTTAAAAGTTTTCCATACTATTCTTCATGTATTCCTGTTTTCTGTTTTTTTGTTTTTTAAGAAATAGTATGCACGTAGTACAGAATTTTTACTCTTAAGATTTCTTTCTAAATTGGTGAAAAGCAGTGCCATCTGATTCTGGGTGATTGTAGCTATGGAGTGGGATGTCTTTCCACCACACACCAGCTGCAGGACCAGATCCAAGCCATAGTTTCCATTTGTAGAAGGGGGGTTCATGGGGGTCACTCTGTCCTTGCTCTAGGAGTTGGTATGTGCATACTCTCTGTAGGGAGCCCTACCCTGGGCTTCCCCAGTAGCTTTCTGAGAGCCTACCTCACTTACCAGTATACCTAGCCAGCTTCTGGGTGGCTTATTTTTTTTTTTTACCCTTGCCTGACTGAAGCCTGGATCAAGCAGGTTCCCAGGTTTTGACCTTTCCCTGTTAAGAATTATGTATTTCCTTTCACTTTCTGATATTATTGGATCTCAGAAAAGATGCTTGATGTGGACCATTTCCTCAGAAGGAAACCTTTTCTTTATGTTCTCATGCCTAGACATTTTCTCCGTTGTTCTTTACTTTTAGGATCCGGTCATCAAGGTGGATGTATCTGGAATAAGACCTTTTCATGTTTTTGCTTTGACATTTGGAGATGTTTTTCTCTACACACTCAGTTTTCCTGGTTGTGTGAGATTTTTTTTTCTATTATTCTTTAAGTCATTGCCTTTACATCTTTTTTGCCCTCACCCTCATACAACATTGTGTCTTAATGTCTTTGGCGTTTTCTTTCATTTTCATGCTTTTCTTGTAAGATAATCATTCTTTGTCAACCTTGTTTTTAAAATGTAACAGGGACAGACACAAAGGGTGATTTAGAAGAGTAACAATTGAGTAAATGATAAATTACATTATTATAAACTACTTTCTTTGAGGGCGCCACTTAAATGTGCTTACTATTTTGTAGGTTAACCAAATGCAAAGCAATGGTGTGTGTTATTAGATTGTATGTGTTTATATATTCTCATAGTGTGCTTTAGGTGGTCTCACAATAATCTAATCTTCAGATTGTCATTTTAGGTCATGCTTGTTTTTTTTGTTTGTTTTTCTTTGCTTCTTACTTATATCTGCCCTTCTGTGTCATTATAGGAGAGGTTGGTCAGAGATATTGTTCATTGTCATGGAGTTTTGATAACTTCTTATTCCTACATCCGACTTATGCAAGATGACATTAGCAGACATGACTGGCACTATGTGATCTTAGATGAAGGACACAAAATTCGAAATCCAAATGCTGCAGTCACCCTTGCTTGCAAACAGGTATGGCTGCTTTCAGTGAGGGAAATTTCTGATGGGCAGTGGTATTTAATTTTAGAATAGGCTATTTGCTTTATGAATACATTTACTGAATTCTGTCTTAATGTAGAAAATTCTTTATGCCTGTCTTTTAGATTTTCATTGTTCAGGTCTTTTATAAAGCCCAGCTGTTAGAATGTAACCACACCCACCTCTAATAGGTGGTGTTCATCTTGAACAATTAAGGCAGAATTCTTCCAGTGTTTTCATCCATATGCAGTTAGAAAATTGGACAAAATATCCACACTTTGGGAGGACCAAAATAATGGACAAAAGTGATGACTAAATGTGTTAAGTAACTATTATTGGGAGTATTTGGGGTTGGATGGTATTCATCTGTTACAAAGTCAATTTCATAAAAAGATGTCTCATTTTCCAACTAGTTCCGCACACCTCATCGGATCATCTTGTCTGGCTCACCGATGCAGAATAATCTCCGAGAGCTATGGTCGCTCTTCGACTTCATCTTCCCAGGAAAACTAGGCACATTGCCTGTGTTTATGGAGCAGTTCTCTGTCCCCATCACTATGGGGGGCTACTCTAATGCTTCCCCAGTACAGGTAATGTGGCAGCCAATGACAACTCTTTGGCATTTCCCCAAATATTATACTTTGTAGCTAAGTTATTGACAATGTAAGGGAAATGGCCAGGCTTATAAATTGGTGTCTAATAAAAATCAGAAATATCTTTACTCAGTTATTGTATTTTTGCAGATAAAGTTTAAAAAAAATGACGTATACCATTTACTTAAGGAAAGCTCTAGACTAAAACTTCTCTTTTCACAGTAGGAATGAAATGTTTTCCTCTTGGCTTTTCCTGGGAAGTATCTCTCAGATGAGACATTTAAAAATAGTTTTGGAAGTGAGCATAAGAGCAATGTGAAGTCATGTAAAAGATTGAGCAGATCTGGACAGTGTACATTGTAGTACCAACCAGATAATAATGTGCCTTTCACAGTGAGGAGGGGTGGACTGAAAGCTAGGAGAGAACGCCAGCATTCTGGGTCAGGACTGTGTGTGAGCACAGCGATGCTCTATGGCTAGGCCAGCTGAAGAGCCTGCTGGACTGTGCTAGAAATTTTTTTTTCTTCGTCTCCTTAGAGTGGGTATGGGAAAGCTGGAACTTGGGGCCTGGGAAGGGAATTGGCGGTTGCTAAGGGACAGCAGGAAGATATTTGGGCTGGCAGATAGAAGATGGGAGTTCTTGGAGTTGCTTGGGCTGCAAGTAGTCTTGAGGAGGCTGGCATTAGAGGACTTGGAACTTTGGAGGGGGAAGTGAGGAGTTAGGTGGTGGTCTGAGAATAACACAGTAAGGGATAGGAGAACCTGGTGACATTTCAGGCAGGGTAAGCAAGACGTAGATGCTGATGGAATAAAGGAAATAGGATTGGGCTTGCTGTACCTGACTGAGGCTTTATGCCTAGGTCACAGATAGTTTGGGGTTATTATAGACTTTCAGGGGGTGACACTCTCCTGAGGGCAGTCTGTGACCTATGGGAGCAGGCTCCAGCCTTGGAGTGAAGTAGGGTATCTGTGCATGCCTGTTCAAATGCACTTTATGGGTCCTGGTTGGGCCAAGAATAACGTTCTCCTCCAAAGATACGTGAACTTGTGTTTTAGAATATTTAATTACAAAAGCAATTTCATACCTTTAAAACAAGAGGCTTGTCTAAACCAATAATCACTTTATCTTTTGTCACTAATGGTTATTAATGAACTTATAAGTACTCCCCTTCTCTGAATCTTTGCTGTGTCCTTTGTTTATGTTGTTGTTATAATTTTAACTTTCCATTTTAGAATCATTTCAAACTGAAGATAAAGTTAAAAGAACTGTAATATAGAGTTTCTCCATGCACTTCACCCAGATGTAGCATTTCACTAATATTTCAGGGCATTTCTCTTACCACCCCTCTCATATCTACCCACTCATCACACACACACAATAGTGTACAAAGAATTTCTTTTTAGAATTGGATCATTTAAGAATAAGTTCAAGCATGATACCTATTCTCCAACTCCTTCAGTGTGGGTTTTGGGGTGGATCTGTTTTTTGGTTTTGGGGTTCGTTTTTGTTTTTTTTTTTTTTTGAGATTTTAATTTTATGAGTGTTTGCCTGCATGAATGTCTTTGTTTCATATGTGTGCAGTGCTAAAAGGGGCTGGAAGAGGGCATTGAATCCCCTGGGACCAGAGCTATAGGCAGTTGGGAGCCATGGTGTGGGTGCTGGGATTTAAACCTGGATCCTGTGGAAGGGCAGCCAGTGCTCTATTAGGTGTGAAGCCATCTCTCCAGCCCTTCAGCAAGCCTTTTAAAAGCAATGGCGGCCACTTACTTGCCCACAATAACAACACCCATCAGGAGGCAGGTCAGTGTTCTGTTTCTAGCCTTTCTACCTTGTTCTTCACATTCTGCCAGTGGTGTCCAGTATCTCTGCCTCTTTATCCTCTCTTATTGAGGAACAGTTCTAAACATCCTTGCCTGTTGTGACCTTGATAGTTTTGGAGACTATAGGCCTGTTACTTGTGAACTATTTCTTCCTCTTGGGTTTGTCTACCATGGCTTCCATGTTGTGTTTAAGCTACACATTTGTGGCAGGAGCATCTTTTTCTCAGTATGTACAATCTGTTGCTTTGTCCTGTTACTGAGGACAGCTTGGTAAAGCTGTCTGGACCAGATTTCTAAACTCTGGATTTATTATTTCTGCTTGGGAATTAACAGGTCATTTGTGGGAAGATATACTGAGTTTAATATATATAGTGTGTTTCTTGAAATCCTTGTCTGAGGGGTTTGTGTGCAGTAGTACTTCCTTGAATATAGGAGCTACATGCCTTCAAATGTATCTCCTGGAATGCCTGGAATTATGGAGACTGTCACTCGCTCTCTGCAAGCCCCATGCTACAGGATAGGCTGTCTGATAACTATACCCCTTTCTGGTGACTAATGGGTGTCATACACAGTGGGATACACTGGGCAGAAGAGTGATTTGTGTCTTGGATGGACGAGAGCAGGGCTGCACAAGATTTTATTAAACTATATAAACAGCACACAATTTAAAACTAATGAACTGTTTCCTTCTGTAATTGTCCGTTGGAATATTTTTTGGGTAGCATTTAGTTTCACAGAAAGCAAAACTGGATTAAGAGGAATTTGCTCAGCAAGGTCTTATGAAAGGGGCATTGCTTTTATTTGTTCGTTTTGCTTAAGGCCATGTTCTCCATATGCGGTTGCATCCTGTGAGGATAGTCTGCCCACAGGTAGTTATGTGCCAGATATGATGGGAGGTGGCTGGAGAGTAGAAGCCTCCCCAGAAATCCAGTGGCAAAAAGCAAGGGGACTGTAGTAAGGACATCTAGAACAAGACAATGAGGGCTGGAACTACAGGAGAGGTTACTTCCAGCCCTGAGACTAGAAGTTATCAGTTAGCCTGTTTGTCTTTCAGGTACTGCCTGGGTTTTCTTCATGTCCTTTCACACAGCACCTGCATGAAGATAGGTGTGCACACATGATGCAGACATGAGTGCGGAGTGCTGGGTTCTTTCCAAATATTTTCTTTTTAACATGTTAATGTGTTTAATTTGAACTTCTCTGTGTTTATTATGCTCAAGTTTCTCTTAAAGCTAAATTTCTTACCTTTAAATTTTACATTTTTTTTGTTCTATGAAATGTTAATTTACTAAATTGTTAAACCTATTTAGAATGTTTTAAAGTATCAATAATTAATTGAAGCCTTTGCTTGTCCGTAAGTGAATTGCAGAGGGTGTGGCTTCCTGGGCTGTGGGTCTTTGTTTTTCTATGTACAGTTAATACTCTCTCATGTGGCCATGTCCATTATGGAGCCATATGCTCCATTTTAGGCCAGAGTGACCTTTCATTTCTGGGATCATAGGACTCCTCTTGAACTTATTCCCTGAAGCCTAATCTCCCCTTATTAGCTGGTGGCTCCCACTGCTCCAGCTCTCCCCACACTTAGCTTTTGATCTCTGCCCTTCGAGGCCAGTTCCTTTGTAGCTTTTGGAGAATACAAGATTATAATAGGGATTTGCTTGAAACTAGTTTTTCCCCTAGAGGGTGGTCAGTAACCAAATAAATCTCTATTTTTGGGCCTAACTAAATAGTACAGTAATAATTAAAACAAGTATAAAAGAGGAGATAAAGCATGGTTAAACAGGTTTTCTTTCATGTTGTTTTGGTTAGTAGGGTAAATTTTTTTTTTCTGATATTTTCAGAGATGTCATCCCTGGAGCATGTAGAATGTAACTTGACTTTTTCTAAGTTTAATTTATATACCGGTTAATCATTCTTTAATTTTGAAGACTTGAAATCAATCTAGAAAAACAAATGTATTCCTTAAGCTAACGTCTCGTTTTTTCTTTTACTAAAGGTTAAAACTGCCTATAAGTGTGCATGTGTCTTAAGAGACACCATTAACCCATACCTGCTGCGGAGAATGAAATCAGATGTCAAGATGAGCCTTTCTTTGCCAGATAAAAATGAACAGGTCTGTCAGTCTGGGAGGTGACCACCTAGAGGTCAGATTTGGGGTTCTGCTGATCATAAGAAGGACCAGTTTTACTCTTTGTGACTATATCCCTGAGAATACACTGTGGGAGGGGTTGATGGCATTTGAGTTGGTGTTACTAGGATGCCGCTGAATCCATCCTGGTGTTCTATAATCTTAACAGATGATTGCATCTTCTCAGGGCCTTCAAGTTAAACATATTGTAGATTTTTATGTTGAAGGATCTCAGACATCTGTCACCAAGGCCACCTTTATATCCCTGCTTCTTTTTTTCCTCCACATCCCATCTTATTGTATCTAGTTGTCCTCTCAAAGCCCTTAGATACTGGGATGGGTCTTCTGTGATAGAGACTTCCAGAGGCCAACCAGTTGATGAGTTTAATTTAGGATATGCTGAAGTACTTTGACAACATCTACACACCTAAGAAGTTGAGAGATGGGAGAGGGTTCTAGGCTGGTCACAGCTAACAGTGAGCTGTTAAGGTATTACAGTGCTGAGCAGGGGTTGGTTTGCCCAAAGAGCATGTAGAGACCGACCCAGAGGAGAAGTAGCTGCTCTCCTCAGCAGCATCAGAGGAGAGGGCAGAAAAAGAGGAACTAGTTGAGAAGATTGGAGAGGCCAGGTAGACAGGCTGAAGTGAGCTGGGAGGAGGCAGGGCTGGAGCTGGCGGAGTGGAGGGCAAGCAGCTGAACTGGCAAGAGCCTGATGCACATGGCAGTTCTGAAGTCAATTCTGATGCTTTGGAACATTTTCAGTGGCATCGGTGACTTGGACCAGGTGCTAATGTGGGCAGCAGCTGACAGGTGAGGCTGTCCCATGGTTTCTCAGGATGTTCCCTTTTCCTGTAGAGAGCCTTATGGGTAGAGGTTCTGAGAAAGACAGGTGGGTGTTCAGATCCAGTGCTGAGGTTGAAGGATTGGTCATGCACTGGACTGTCTTATTCACTTTGATGAGATTGATACAAAGATAGAGCCATTTTAGGGATGGGAACCAAACCCCTAGGGATACAGATCCTGGTAGCTCCAAATTTGGTTTTGTTTTTTATTTGTCTGATTGTGTGTGTGTGTGTGTGTGTGTGTGTAGATGTTGAGACAAAGATGGCTGGTAGATGAGTGACTTAGGAAGCCCCAGGGCATAAAGCTATTTGGGCTTTTAAATGGTGCTAGATAGGGTGTGTGGGGAGGTGCTTCTTGGGGCAGACAGTGGTAGGCTGCTGCAGGATTGGGGTGCTGCTAGGCACTGGCTATATGGCAGTCAGGGTGGGTGGGTGACTTGATTGGCTCTGGAAGCTTGTGGGGCAGGTGGGAATGATGGTATACATGGGTGGAACAATGGTAGTTTAAAAGCATCCCATGAGAATCTGATGGGCTATGAAGAAAGTCAAGCCTTGAGGTGGAGGGGGTAGACTTAGAGAGAAGGGACTGAAAGGCAGGTGAAGGGACCAGCTCCCCATTTCAGCAGCCATGACAGTAACACATGCTTGCCTGACGTTGCCTTGGTCACTAGGAGGTCAGATGCCTGCCTCATGGCAAGGAACCAATCAGAAGTTAGCTGGTGGTGCTATGCTTTACAGCTCTGAGTGTGCTTTATGGACAAGTGCACAACAATGACGCACAGAGCATAGCAATCACGCTGGGAGGGCCTCTGGGCCATAACAACCAGTTGACAAATCAACACAGGGCAAACCCTCCAAGCCTGGAGGCACACCAATCCTGAGCCTGTGCGTACCCCTAGACACGCCCCTTACGCTCTATGCCATGGCTTCCCAGCATCTTTCCCAGCCATCTGCCATCGTGGATGGATGAAAGGCCCGAGCTAACATGGGGTTAGCTTGTTAAACAACTACAACAAAACCTCCTGCTGTTTGCATCAAGTTTTCGACTCTGCTTGGTGATTGGGGTGGCCGTGGTCCTGGGCTGAAATCCTGGGGGCCTGAGCCTCCAAGGGGTCTTTCACAGGAAGTGGGCAATGTGATAGAATAATTAAACCCAGTGGGCTGGGAGGGTATGGGGTGCTGTGAGGGTCTGGTAACCTTGGTTCCAGGTGAGGTAAATTTTCCTGCAAAGTTAGCCAAACAGAGTATAGGTGAGAGGCCTGGGGGAGAGTCTCTCATCACATTGAGCTGAAATGAAACATGGCTGTGCACTTGGGTCCTGAGGCTGCCTATGAGCAGGAAGCCAGTCTGGAGGGACTGCTGGGTGATAGGCTAGAACTAGGAGGTAGATGGATATGAAAAAGGGAGAGATCTCTTTAGCTGAGAGATGTATTATTGTAGTTAAAATTGTATACATTGTACTAGTTTTTTAGGGAATCTTACCGATTATTAATGTATTTTTAAAACTATTTTCTTTTCCCTTGAAGGTCTTATTTTGCCGTCTAACTGATGAGCAGCATAAAGTCTACCAGAATTTCATTGATTCCAAAGAAGTTTACAGGATTCTCAATGGAGAGAATCAGGTCAGCCACTGAGCAGATGACAGAGAAATAAGCTGTTACCAAGAAGGGTGGGGCAGGAAAGGAAGCTGGTGTGTAGCATGTGCCAGGCTTCTTGTATCATGCCACCTTTGTTCTCTCTGTCATGCCATCTTTGTTCACTCACCTGCCATCTGTGGTGGCTACAGAGTCATAGCCACAGCTGGGGACATGTGTGGTGTGAGAGCAAGATCACTAGTATGAGGGTGGAGCCCTGATCTAGGAAGCTGGACCCAAGGTGGGGATGTGACCATGAGTCCTGCCACCTAAGGCTCTTAGCCTGGCAGGGGGTGGTGTGCAGCACTTCGCTGACCAAAATGACATTTCCAGGGCATGGTTACAAAGATTTGTAAATTGTACAGCTTCACAGGGAGTCTGTGGTCAATAAACGCTGCAGAGCACTGTCATCTTAGAAACCAGACAGAATTCCGCATGGATTTCTCAGGCTCTAACTCTTACTGTCTCCAGTGCATGAAAGGAATTCATTTATTCATTTTACCCTTCAGTACTGTGAAAGCACTTCCTAATAGCATCCAGAATTCAGAAGCTACTAGACAGTGTCTTCTCAGAAAATTCCATTGTGTAACTCACACAGATACGGAGTTTGGCTTTCTAGAACCTTGTCATTGTGGTGTGTCCCCAAGCACTTGGCATGAGAATGTAATGCTGGGACTTCACAGTGGTGGGAACATCATGGACCAGTTGAGTCATGAGTGCCGGAAGCTAGGTGTCTGAATTCTACTTAGCTGGAACATGCTGCCACTGGGTCAGGTGTATTCTGTGACCTTTGTGAAGCCATTTTGGGAGAACTTTAACTGAATCTGCAGCCCTTCCAGAAGTGAGAGAGCTAGCTCCTTACACCAGAGGGACATTGCTCACCTCTACTGGACTGTAGGCCTGGTGCACTTGAATCCAGCATTGTGGTCTAGATAGGAAAAGAATACTGGGAATGGGCCCTGCAGTGATGTAACATACACAACTAGGAATCCCATACAGAGCGTAGGGGAAACCCAGATCACTGTAGTATGGGGCATACTGAAGAGGATGTTTTCACACATCTCTGTAGTGGCATTGTCAGCATTCTGCATGAGTATGCGCCTATTCCATGAGTGTTTATGGTAGGTTTATTATAGATTAAAGTTGCAAATACACTTATACCTTTATAGTTCTCTGACTTGACATGGAACTTTCCTAGGGTCAAGTAGACAAGTTCTTCTTGCTATTTATCCAAGTAGAGATGTTTCTCTGGGGGCTTTCAAAACAAGCCTTAGCAGTTTTGTGCATTTGGTTATTGTGCCTTCTCCCTAGCAGGTGCATTCTTGCATGCCCTTATATGCATGCTGAGTGTTGCAACCATGGTCTTCACTCTGCACCATTGAAGGTACATCTGAGTGTGTTGACATTAGAGAAGAAATCAAGCTAGTAAAAATGTCTGTAATCCACGGAACATGTCTCCCTCCTTTCCTTTTGTTTACATAGGGTAATCTGAGCTCATATGTGTCATTGTTGTTTTACTCACAGATTTTCTCTGGACTTGTAGCTCTGAGGAAGATTTGCAACCACCCTGATCTCTTTTCTGGTGGTCCCAAGAATCTCAGTGGTCTTCCAGAAGACGAACTAGAAGAAGATCAGTTTGGTTACTGGAAACGTTCCGGGAAAATGATCGTTGTTGAGTCTTTGCTGAAAATATGGCATAAGCAGGGTCAGCGAGTGCTGCTGTTCTCCCAGTCGAGGCAGGTGTGTGCTCAAACTCAAACAAGTTGTTTCTTAGGACTCGTGATGTCACCTGAAGTGAGATCTGTCACACTGCTGAGGTGGCAGCCCAGGGGTTACTTCCAGGACTGTGTGTGAGTTTGGCCATAGGAGTCAGCTTTTTTTTTTTTTTTTAACAAACCTCACAGTGGGGTTCTGGTATCCTGGAATACTAACTTCATGAGGAATTAGCAAAAATTCTTTTGTAGCAGTATTATTTCTCTTCCTCAAAGCAAGAAACGCTTTCAATGTAGGCCCCCTGGGGAAGGTACACTTACCTAGGAGAAGCACTTGCTTGAAGTGCTTTGGTTTACAGACTGTTTCCCCTCATCCCTCAACAGATGCTGCACATACTAGAAGTGTTCCTGAGAGCCCACAAGTATTCCTACCTCAAAATGGATGGGACCACTACCATAGCATCAAGACAGCCACTGATTACAAAATATAATGAGGTAACAAGGGCTGTGACAAGGAAGCAGAAGGGGTGACAGTGTGTGGAGAGAGAGGCGTGTGCATGCCTGCTCTCACAGCCCCCTGAAAGGTCTTTATGTCTGGCTAGCAGGTGAAGAGGGACATTATCCTTTTGGGGGTTTTGTTTTGTTTGTTAGTTTTCTTTGAGACAGGATCTCACTGTGTAACCCTGGCTGGTGTGGAACTTACTATGTAGAGCAGGCTGGCCTCAAACTCACAGAGATCCACCTGCCTCTGCCTTCCAAGTGTTGGGATTGAAGGTATGTGCCACCACACCTGGTGAATTTGCCTTTGACTGTGCACATTAGGGTTTGAGAAGTGGGCATTACAAGATTTAGAAAGGAAATGCTGAGATTTGAGGAGAAAACTAAGAGTCTAGTGAAGCATGGCCAGTGAGAGTGTCTGTACTTGACACAGTCATTAAAAGCTGTCAAGTAGCAGCTCTGAGATGTGAACTTGCTTCACAGAGCACTCTGGGACATGAGGTTTGGGTGTGTTGGTGACCAGCAGAGCCTGTGGGAGGACCTGTGTTGGGGAGTGCTCTTAGCTGTGCCCAACTTGTCCTGGGTCTTTCCTGCAGGACACGTCCATCTTTGTCTTTCTTCTGACCACACGAGTGGGTGGCATAGGAGTGAACCTGACCGGGGCCAATAGAGTCATCATCTACGACCCTGACTGGAACCCAAGCACTGACACACAGGTCTGTCATTTCCTGCAGAAAGACAGCTTGTTGTTAGTAGTTTTCATCAGTATCTCTAATGTTATTCCTGCCTTCAAGTACAGTCTGCATGGTCACATCCTGAACTCTTGCACGAAGGAACGTAGTCAGTTGTACAGACTGGGAGAGTCCTCAGCTGTTTATCCACAGCATCCATTGCAAGCCGTGGTGTAAAAAGTGCTCACAAAAAGTCAGATAGTTTTTTCAGTCAAGCTGTCTTGGTTTTCTTTCTGTCTCCTGACTGTTCATCCACTTGCATAGGCCTCAAGTGTACATTCTTCTCTCACAGAATTCTGACTAGGCAGTGATCAGTTCCGGTTTTCTCTGACTGGCCCTGGCTCTGGAAGAGCCCTTGTTAATGCACTTCTCTTTGCCTCAGGCCCGGGAACGAGCATGGAGGATAGGTCAGAAGAAGCAGGTAACTGTCTACAGGCTTCTGACAGCTGGCACCATTGAGGAAAAGATCTACCACCGGTCAGTACAGACGGCTGAAGAGCCTCAACCCCCTAACCAAGAAGGGTTGTTATTATTTCCAAGTGTTGGTTTAAAAGATTCTTTCATCTTAAAGGAATGATCACTATAACTTAAGGTGTATCACGACTGTTTTGTGTTTTTATTTTTTCTTTGCCATTAAAATATAATTAATCCTTTACTCTTTTTTTATTTGTTTTTTTTTTTTTGTTTCGTTTTTTTTGAAACAGGATCTTAGTATGTCCCCCCTGGCTGGCCTATAACTCACAATGTAGACTAAGCTGGCCTCAAACTCCGAGATCCATTTGCCTTTGTTTTCTGGGTGCTGGGATTAAAGACATGGGCTACCACAGCCAGACAACCTTACTGTTTTTTAAAATTATTGTACCTTGATCTAAATCAGGGACTTGTTATATGTAAATTTGATATTGTTTTCTGATGGAGACATTCCAACTTCTTATAGTGTGCCACTTTTAGAAAAACTGAGAAATGACAAAAGTGAAGCTGACACATTCAGATAACCTTTGGAGAGGTTGGCAGCATCGTCCCTTCCTCTTCTCTTGTAACTAGACAGCTTGAGGCAGTGGTAACTACAGGGAGAGTCCAGAGATGGTCAGCTTCTCCTGTGCCCCTCAGACTTCATTCTTGTCCCATATCCCAGAGCCAGCACCAACACTGGGTTCTTCCCAAAACATTTTGTGTTGTTAGGGGCTTATTGTAGGCCCTGGAGGTGATATGAGTCTTGGGGGAAAAAAGCTTTAGCCTGAAACACAATTGGATAGGAGGGAATGGTGTGTAGGGGACAGTGTAAGTCAAGCCTGCTAGAAGCTGGCTACAGGTATGCCTAACCACGCCCTAGTGGGCGTGGTCAAGGTGAGGTCAGGTTGACTTGAGATAGGGTTTAAAGGGACAGATAAGGCACATGGGAGCCCCTTCTCTCTGGCCTCCCCGGCTTGCTGCCCTTGTCACCCTTTGGCTTGCGTTGGGCTGGCGTTTATCTAATAAAGGATATCTTAATCTCACAGGTTACTAGGCTCTTTCGTTAATGGTGTTGCTGTGTGGTAATGCCTATGTGGAGAAGGACTACAGTGTGTGTCTGGGGGCTGAGGAGCAGGGAGGTGAGGGTTATACAAAGCCCAAGAGGGCACCAAGCAGGGCAGGGCAAGGCAGGCCCTAGCCCATGAATCAGGGAGGCTGACTGGCTCCTTCCTGCTTGTAGAGGTGGAGGACATACATGTGAAAGGTGGGTTTGAAATGTGGTAGGTCTTGGAGGTTAAAAACAAAAAACTCATTAGGCATAAGTAATAAGGTATCATTTCTACTTCAAAATTTATGAAACTTGTGAGACCACCTTATGTATTATATATGTTGAGTTGTAATTTTCCATGGCTGAAAGTTTGGGGGCTTTTTAATCATTCATTGGTCTGCTGTTAGCATCTCTCTCACATAATAAAAAAAAAAAATCTGCCAGGTGGTGGTGGCAGCACACACCTGTAATTCCTGCTCTTGGGAGTCAAAGGCAGGTAGATCTCAGTGAGTTTGAGGCCAGTCTGTTCTACAAAGTGAGTTCCAGGTCAGCCAGGACTGTCACACAGAATAACCCAATCTCAAAACAATCAAACAAACAAACAAAACCTTTATTTTTGTGTATAGGTTTTCTGCATGCATTTATGTCTGTCCACAATGTTCATGAAGTTCCTACAGAGGCCAGAAGAGGGCATTACATTCCCTGGGACAGGAGTTATAGGCGGTTGTGAATTGCCCTGTGTCCTGGGAATCGAACCTAGATGCTGAGCCATTTCTCTAGCCCAATCTCTCATGTTTTATAACTGGAATTTTGAATTACAGCTAAACATTGTTTCATACCAGTTTGTAATTTTATCTTTTTAGCCAAATCTTCAAGCAATTTTTGACAAACAGAGTGCTAAAAGACCCAAAACAAAGGCGCTTCTTCAAATCCAATGACCTTTATGAGCTGTTTACCCTGAGTAGTCCTGATGCGTCCCAGAGCACTGAAACAAGTGCCATTTTTGCAGGTATGACACTAAGTCATTTAATTTAGTCAATAGTATAACAATTCTGCAGTGTGATATTAGCCATGTTTTCCCTGTTACAGGAACTGGCTCCGATGTTCAGACACCCAAATGCCATTTTAAAAAAAAGACTCCACCAGCCCTCGGAACAGATCCCAAATGCAAGAAGTTCCCCTTTTCTGACACATCTGCAAATGGTGCCATCCTAACTGAAGAAGAATCTAAGGCGACAGGGGCTGCAGGAAGTGCAACTTCTAGAGAAGGTGGCCCTTTGAAGGACGACTGTCACCCGAGTGGGAGCAGAGCTAACAGTGTTGCATTTGGAGAAGAGACAGGTACAGGGTCCAAGCTGGAGCAGGTCTCAGTGATAAGTGGAGATGGGAAGTATTCAGATGTTCCAACAGTCGACCAAACATCCGGGCCATCTTGTGAGGCAAGCACCAGTGAGAAGCAGGGTCCTTCCTACAAAGGGGAATGCTGTCAGGTTCAGACAGAACCTGTTTGCGTGAGTGAACAAACAGACGGTCATTTTTGTAAGCACAAATCAAAAAGGAAACATGGTGTGACAAAGGAAGAGACCCCAGAGAAACATCCTCAGCCCAAACAAAAGGCCAAGACCTCCAAGCATTGCAGAGATGCCAAGTTTGAGGGAACTCGAGTTCCATACCTGGTGAAGAAAAGGCGATACCACCAGCAAAACTCTGAGCAGGAGAGCAAGGCCAAGGAACGAAGCAGTGATGACTATGTTTTGGAAAAGCTCTTCAAAAAATCAGGTAATGCTTTTGATGAATCTCTCACCTGGGTGCTAGGAACAGTGGATATGGGACTCATTCCTAGCACAGTAGTTTTTACTAATGGTACTGACAATTTGAAAATTGTATTTATCTCCCTTTCTGCAGACTTGAAAGAATTTGAAACTTTAGGAAACAATAATGCTTAACAGATGACCATTTATATGAGATCAGGTACCACAAATAGACATGTGCTGCCTGAGTGTCAATAGGCAGTTTCCTTACATGCTGTGTTTATTATATGCTTTTCCAACTACAGAAGGGTAGAGAAACAGATCATGGGAGAGAGGCAGGGCTGTGGCTAGGGTCAGGCAGAAAGAGAAGCATTAGAGAAATCAACAGTGGACATCAACAGGCCCTGCTCAGCTTTGGTATCTCCCAAGTGTTGTAATCTTCATCCTTTGCCGCATTGTGTTTAGTGTGATTTCCATAGTTACCAAAGACCTAGTCAAGGCACGCTGTCTGAGAAGGCAGGTTTATGTACTGCTTCAGAAAGTCTTTCAAAGAAATTACCATGAAGAGCATACAGAGTCTACTGTAGCCTTTATGCCACTATTAACATTTTCCAGCATTTGCTTTTCACATGTGTATGTAAACAATGCCAACAAATATACATGTATGTATGTATGTATGTATGTATGTATACATATAAATATGCATACATTTTTTACCTTTATCTCTGTGGATAAGAACCATGGACTTAGATTCCAGTCAAGATGGAGTGATGTTTACCTCCCATGATGCACTAAATTATTGACACTGTGTGTGAAGCAGTGGTACCAAAAGGGCACCGAAGGGTGGTGATCTCTCCAAGATGGGAAACAGGTGAACTAAACATGTACTTGTTGCCTTGAGAGATTTGAGAGGAGATGGAATCCTGGACAGACCCAAGTGCTGGAGTTGATGTAAAGGAGTGATAAGCGAGAGCTTCATAGAGAAAGGATTCTGCTCTCATCTGCAGAGGGCTCCTTTAGAACTCAGCTGGGTGCTCATAATCACATCCTGCAAGGAAGCTATTTGAGGCTGCAGAAAGGACCCTCAAAAGGATTAGAGGAAACAGTTCTGTGCACACCCATAGCAGAGGACAATGCCTGTGCCTACCAGGTAGCCTGTTGTATTACAGAACAAAGTATAGTATTGCACTGTTCAAATAAATTTTGTTTTTGTTTTTCTTTGATTTTCCAAGACAGGGTTTCTCTCTGTAACAGTCCTGGCTGTCCTGGAACTTGATCTGTAGCTCAGGCTGGCCTATAACTGGTAGAGATCAGCCTGCCCCTGCCTCCCTAGTGCTGGGACTAAAGACGTATGCCACCACCACCTGGCATCTCACTTGAATTCTTATAGGACTATATAGATAGTAAACACTGGACAAGATAAAATTTATGATGGTTTGCATCAAATACAAAAATGATTGGGTGCAGGAAAATGTGATTCACATTGAGGAAGTAACTTGGAATTGACATAGGTGGCGAAATTAGCACAGACATTAGATAATTATAACTTCCATATATTCAGAAAGAGGCATGAAAGATGCACACACATACTGGAAATGAATGAAAATATGAAAATACAATATCTGATGTGAATAATACCTGGTAGGAGATGAAGGCATATTAGACACAGCAGAAGAGAGTAGTGAACTTGAATACAGAATAGAGAAGCTATGAAGAGGTGCACAGTAAAGTCACAGAAACACAAAAAGGCCAGGAGATGTCAATAGCCTATTCTAATGATAATTGAGATCCTGACCAAGAAGAAAGAGGAGGAGAATATGTCAATATGAAGAAATGCTGGTAAAGAACATTCCAAATTAGATGTAAGCTGTATATCCACACACTCAAGAAGCTTAATAAAACCCAAGCCTGGAAATGAAAGAAAAAACATACCATATATAATAATAATAAAGTGGCCAAGGCAGATGGTAAATAGAAACAATGAAATGTGAAATGCCAGAAGCAGGGAAGAGTTTAGAAGAAACATAGTTGTGAGCCTTGAAAACAAAGATGACAATAAGTCACCTCAGTAGAATAAAGGACAGAAGCCACATGATCTTATCTACAGTGGGGTAGGATGTAGGAGAGTGAGGTCCCATGTGCCCATGGGCCATGAAGAGGACATTGCAAGTCATGATATCATTGCCTTGACTGGTAGTAGCTCCATGGTATATCCATGTCAGAACTTGTCATATTGTATGTTTTAAGTAGGTGTGCTTCATGTTATATCATATACTTCAGTAAATCTCATGAAGCTAAACAAAGGAACTGATACTGTTTTGTCTTGTTTTCATCAACATTGTAGAGCCCTGTCCATGTGTTAGACTGCCTTCTTCCAGAGGGAGAGAATTTTTTTTTTTTTGCATTTTCTTTTTTTTTTTATTTGAATTACAAACAAGATTGAATTGCATGACAATCCCAGTTCCTTCTCCCTCCCTTCCTCCACTACCACCCCCCCCAGCTAAAACCCTACCTGTCACATATCCTTTCTTCTATTCTTCCCCTGACTCAACCTTCCTGCTCCCTCATGACCTCTGCATCCTTCCTCTTCTTCCCTTCTCATTCTCGTGGCTCCCTCACCCCCTCTTCCCAGGCTCTCAATTTGCTCAGGGGATGGTAACCCTTTCCCCTTCTCCAGGGGACAAAGTTTGTCTCTTTTAGGGTCCTCCTTGTTTACTAGTTTCTCTGGCAGTGTGGATTGTAGGCTGGTAGTCCCTTACTCTATGTCCAAAATCCACATATGAATGAGTACATAAAATGTTTGCTTTTTTGTGATTGGGTTGCAGAAGGAGAGAATTCTTGACCATCATTCTTCTCATGATAAAGTATTTGTACCATCATACATGCACTGTGTTAGACTATATAGCCCATACCACCACCACAACAAAAAAGCCAAACTAACAAAAGTTTAATATTTATTTATATTTTGTTTCCAATCTGAAGTTTTAGTCAAAACACTATTCAAAAGTTTCTTAATTTTTTTCTCCCTTTCATAGAACAGTTAGATTAATTTATTTGTGTCTGTTTCAGAATTTCTCTTATGCCTCTTGATGTTATTGTACTTTACTTTTTGAGTTTGTAGTGTTAGACCCCCCAGAAAACTCAGGTATCCAGGGTCCCAGGCCACGTTCACTGTCACCCCAATCACCAGGCGGATTCAAGAGCTTGATGCAAACTGCATGAGGCTTTATTGTAATTTAACGAGCTAACCCCATGTTAGCTCGGGTCTTTCCCCCACCCGCCATGGCGGATGGCTA